TGTCATCTGCATTTTAGGTCATCCATGTCTTTAGGTCAGAATTGCATTGTAAACCATACATAGTGGCACTGCCTGTAAGTCCAGCATTCAAGAAGCTAGGGCCAAAGGATTGGTATGAGTTCAAGGCCAGCCTAGACTAGTGAGTTCAAGGCCAGTCTGAGCTACATAGCAAGACCCTGTCTCAAACAAACAAATAAAAATTGATTGTACACACTTGTAATCCCAGCATCTGTTTTGAATTTATCTAGTAATGGATTATTTCATAAAATGAATTTTCTTGCAGTCACTTTTAACTGTCTGTGATACTTTAATCACTCCCTTCCTTCCCTCCCATATTCTGCACTAAACCCAGGGTCTTTGCATTGAGCTACATCCCTGAGCCTTTTTTTCTTTAGTAGGAAAATTTATTGAGAAAAGGAATGGAGAATAGGAATGGCTCCTGAGAGACAGCAGAGGTCCTGATTGGGTTGCCCCTCAAGCCTTTTCTTTATTCTTTATTTTGAAGCAGAGTCACCCAGGTGCCCAGGGCAGACTCCAGCTTAAAATCAGTCCTTCTGTCTCACCTTCCCAGAATGCTAGAGTTACAGGCTTGTCTTACGCACCTGACATCCCCTTTTATTTACTTTGGGGTGTGTGCATGTGTTCCTTTTTAAGGGTTTTAGATGGGGTCTGGTTATGTAACCCAGGCTGGCCTCAAACTCAGAAATGATCCTACTGCCACAGTCTCCTGAGTGCTGGGATAGCAAGTGCGCACCACCACACCCAGCTTTATTTTTGGTTTTTAGAGGCAGGATCTCCCTATTAATGGCCTGGCCTCAAACTCCTATTCTAGTCTCTGAGGTGAAAGCATGCACCACCACATCCAGCTCCTAAAATTTTTAAATTGAGTATAACTTTAAATATTTTTGTTAATTTTCTAGTTCATGGATTTTCTGCTTTCTTCTTACATACCCATAGGTTCAGTGGTCACCTCACAATGAGACTATTCTGGCTTCCAGTGGCACTGATCGCAGACTGAATGTCTGGGATTTAAGGTAAGTCTTATATCAGTTACTCTCTTTATGAAGTTATTTTCTTTATTTACATTTTCCAGAGTTACTCAGGGTAAATCTGTTTTGATTTATCTTTTTGTGCTAGTAAAATTGGAGAAGAGCAGTCTCCAGAAGATGCAGAAGATGGCCCACCTGAGTTGTTGGTATGTTACAAGCTTTGAGAACTGTATTGCAGTAGTCTATACTTCAAAATCCTCTATTTGCATTTTATATCTTTGTTTGCTCATCTCTTCCAGTTTATTCATGGTGGTCACACTGCCAAGATATCTGATTTCTCCTGGAATCCCAATGAACCTTGGGTGATTTGTTCTGTATCAGAAGACAATATCATGCAAGTGTGGCAGATGGTAAGTGTTTTGTCATTTATGTGGTTAAGTTAGATAAATGAGACACAGCGTCGATTGTTTTGTTTTTGAGACAGGGTCTTGCTGTGTACTTCAGGCTGGCCTTGAACTCTTTCGACAGTCCTCCTGCCTCAGCCTCCCAAGGACATGCACCACAACAGCCAGCAGCCGCATTTTATATTTATGTACCTCATGGATACAATGTGTCTCAATTCTGTTTACTGTCAGGCATGACTGTAGTGCTTATATGCACATTGCCATTTTCAGCCATCCTTTACATTTATCTGATTGTCCCCCTGATTATCTTAAACTATTGTTCTTCATTCCTCTTTCCTATTACTCATTTCCTTGTTTTCTAAGCACTAAGGTCTCCCAGCTAACCAGACTTCAAAACTGCAAGAGTTTTCCATATCTGTTCACCTGTAGGTCTAGTATACTTACAGATTCTATATCATCTCTATCAGCAGTATTTCTCCCGTATGTATTTACCTTACAAACACAAATATATATATATATATATATATCTCCAGAGGAGATAATATCATGTCACAACATGCATATTGCCATTTCTCTGTGAAACCGCTAGATTTCAAATAGATTTCCTAGCTCTAAAACTAAATTTTAGGTAATTGCCCTTTCTTTAATTTTTAGAACACTTAGGATTTAATTGAAATAATATACAGCCAGATTAGGTGACACACCCCTGAAATCCCAACTACTTAAGTTGGGTATGGTAGCACACATATATAATCCCAGAATTTGAGAGGCTGAGACAGAAAGATTGCTGCTGTGGGGTTTTTTTGGTGGTTGTTTTTGTTTGTTTTTGCCATTATGTTTTGAGGATAGCCTAAACTACATAAGTGAGAACTTGTCTCCAACAAAAACACTATATGGTTAGTGTAAGAAATAAACTGGGCATGGTAGTACATGCCTGCAATCTCAACACTTAGGAGGCTAAGGCAAGAGGATTGCCACGAGTTCGAGGCCAGCTTGGGCTACATAATGAATTCAAGGCCAGTTTGAACTACACATCAAGACTCTGTCTCGGGGCGTGATGGCACACACTTGTAATCCCAGCACTCAGGAGGCTGAGGCAGGAGGATCATTGTGAGTTCGATGCCAGCCTGGGTACATAGCTCAAGGCAGACCTGAACTGCACAGCAAGACCCGGTCTCAAAAAGACAAAAAAAAAAAGAATGCAGCTGGGTGTTGAGGCAATCCTATAATCCCAACACTCAAAAAGTAAAAAAAACTGGGCTGTGTAGCTCAGTGGCCCAAGCACCTGCCTGGGAAATGCAAGGTTGTGAGTTCGATTCCAGGTACCAAAAAAAAACAAAAAAAAAGGAAAAAAAATGGGGCAGGGGATAGTAAATTTTGTTACATGTATTTTACCACTTTTTTGTTGGTGGTACTTTGGCTACTATGCCTGGCTACTACTATTTTTTAAATGAAGGTAGTGTGATAAAAGAATAAAAGCTGGGGTGTGGTGGCACATGCCTGTAATCCCAGCACTTGGGAAGCTGAGGCAGGAGGATCACCTTGAGTGTGAGGCCAGCCTAAACTAGGGACCCTGTCTCAAAAAAAATTTTTTTTAGGGCTAGGATGTGGCTCAGTGCAAAGGCCCTAGGTTCAACCCCAGTACTGCCACGTACCACCACCCCAGTCATAATTTTCTGGATCCAGTGGCACATAAATGGATGCTAATGTGCAAGAATTTTTAGAGACCTTGCTCTAGGAGAAGGGAAAAACCTCCTAATTTGAGGAAATGTAACCTTGAGGAATACATTAAAATGCTTGGAGAATGGCATGACCAGAGGTTTCATGGAAGCCCAGAGGCCCCTCCCCACCTTGCCAGCTCATGTCTTCTATTTGGTTCCTTTTTAAAAAAAAAAAAAAAAAAAAAAAAAAAAAAGGTTAAAACCCACAGGGATAGTAAGTAAAGAACGGAGTTGGTGTAGGTCAGTGATAGAGTCCTTGCGTAGCATATGTGAGGCTCTAGAATTTAAGCCTTTTGAGATTTGGAATGTATGGTTTGGGCAGGTTTGGGGTTTGTTCGTTTGTTTTTACAGTACAGCAAGTTGAACCAGAGTCTTCATGCTGAACCCTAACTGCAGCCCTTTTTCATTTTGAGACAGGGTCTTGCTAAATTGCCCAGACTGAGCCTTAATTTGGGATCCTCCTGCCTCACCTCCCAGAGTATTCTGGAGTTACAGGCGTGCATCACCATACCTGGCCAGTTTTTCAGTTCAAGCTTATAATTCAGTTTTTATCATACTCGGTCATTGTGCAGTATCACAGAGTTACCATCACAGAACTAAAAAATGCTAGCTAGCTATTAACAGGAATAATAACCAGACTTTTGTGGGAATGTCTTAATGTAAGGGCCTGTGGCCAGTTGTATGTTTTTAGTGGAATGTAGCCATACACACTCATAAATCACGCCTATTACAGATTTTCTTTGACGGTGGCAGAAAAGTTGGAACAGCACCTGTGTGACCCACAAGCCTAAAATACTTATTATCTGGTTCCCTGGCCTTATCTGTTAATGGAACGTTGAATTCAAGAAGTGGCCTTCATGATTACTAAATATTCTTTTTCTTGTTTTTCGGCAGGCAGAGAACATTTATAATGATGAAGACCCTGAAGGAAGTGTGGATCCAGAAGGACAAGGATCCTAGATGTCTGCACTCACGATTTTAGACTCCCCTTTTTTCTCTCAACCCTGAGATTGATTTAACACTGGTTTTGAGACATACAGACTTTGTTCAGCTATCCCTCCATAATAGGTACCACCAATAATACTATCAGCCCCAAAAGTGGGTGTTTTCTAAATATTAACTGGGGTACTTGATTCAGCAAAGCCACAGACTTATATTTAAATTTTCTTTAGGAATTTTCTAGTAACAAACCCACGTCTAAGGTAGCTACAAAAAGGGGAATATAATGTGTGTTTATTTTTCTTTTTAAGCTATATCCCCAAGTTTTTCAGACTTGTTTCAGTAAAGGATAGAGTGAGTAAGGAATAGAGCCAAGTGAGGATAGGTGTCTGAGCCATGAAGTATAAGTACTGCAGGATGTCATTTTTATTCAGGAATTAGGGGAGAATCGAGTCATGGATTCGTACTCTAAATCATACCTGACTTTCCAGGATGCATATTTTCCTATGTAGACCAGTCTCCTCTTGGTTTCTTCAGTTAAGTCAAGGCTACATGTTCCTCCTTCCCCATATATTTTTGCTTGTTAGTGTATTTCTTGAGCTGTTTTCATATTATTCCTTTCCTTTCTGTGAAATGGTTTTTGTTGGTTTTTGTTGTTGTTTTAACTTGGGACCACCAAGTTGTAAAGATGTATGTTTTTACCTGACAGTTGTGCCTCAGGTAAGACTGTCAAGTTGAGAAGGGTGATTTGATAGCTTGTATTTGTTTTTAAGATTAAATTAATCCTTAATAAGAGTTGCTTTTTTTTTTTAAAGGAGTATTAGTCCTTGACCACTAGTTTGATACCATCTCCATTTTAGGTGACCTGTTTCACCAGCAGGCCTGTTACTCTCCATAACTAACTATGTAAGTGCTTATAATGGAATAAATTGCTTTTCTACATAACCCAATGCTGATGGGTTTTATTTAGAATGTAACACCATCAAATACAAATCTATCGCTTTTAGAACAGTTGTTCAGATGAGTTATTTTCTATGGTCTGTGACTATCAAGAATAAAATTAAACAGATCCAGAGCTGTAGAAAAGAGCTTTACTCCTTTCCAGGGAAAGTTCAAGACATAAAACACAGCCAGAAGTGCACAGACTAGACTGTGATAAAATGGCTTTTTTTTTTTTTTTTAAGTCCTTAAAGAACTACACAGGCTTTCAAATGTCGAAGGCAGTATGGTATAGAGAATTTAAGGCAAAATTTAAACGTGGAAAAGAGAGGTTGAGGTTGACTCTCCCCAGTATGATTTTCACTGGAGCTTGTATTTAAGAGGATGAAAACAATAGGCCCTGAAAGCCTGTATCATCCCGTGCCATAACCAGATAAAATGACTGGCTCTTTCTAGTCACTCAGTTTTGTTTTGATTGAGTAGATCATTAACACCCAAAACTCATTGCAGATCATTTGGGAAAATCTGAATACAGTGGTTTTAAACTGTTACATTCAGATCTGAATTCGTTCCCTTTTCTCAAAGTCTGGTTGTCGTACAGTGAAAACTACGTTGACAAAAATTATAAGAGTAAACTGAGTCTGCATAGCCCTTAAGAAAAAGTAAATTTTGTAAGAGGATTCATTTAACATCTAACGCTCATGGCACAGAAGATTTCAAGTTGTAGACCCATATAAGGAAAGTTGGCTTTTTGTCCCCCAAAATGTTTTTGGTTCGGGTCAACACAAGGCAAGATACATTCTTCACAATACTGCAAGATGTGTCCACACGTTCATCCTTTACTTATCCTGCCTGTGAGGGTTGCTGCTGGAAAATAGAAGGCATTTTTTCCATTCCTCAGTGCATTCAGGTCGGTATCAGTAGAATCCAGCTAAGAATTGGGTGATGTTTTTCCAGCCAACGATAGAATCACTTTAGCCAGTATTTGCAATTTTCACAGGGTGAACTGCTTGCCAAGTTCTTTGTCTGTTTGGGAAAAGTCTAAAGGGTACGTGGTAATTAATTCTTTACTAGGAAGTTTTTTTGGTTGTTTCTGTGTTGCAGACTCGGCCATACATTTCTAAACAGCGCCTGTAAGGTTGAGCAAAAAAAAAGTAAGTTTATGATTTCTCTAACTTGAAATATACAGAAGATAATTTATGTAATAGCGAACTTCCAAGTTTAAGGAGTGAGTGCAGGCTACATTGGGAAAGATTGCTGCACTGTGAATTACGTATGATCAGGGATGACTTCCCCCTAGCAGGCACTGGGTGTTTGCAAAACACAATAAATGATTGCCTATCTAATGGTGATGAGAGGGGGTAGTTAAAAATTTTCTCTGCTTGGGTTAACTTCACAGAGTTATTAAAATGCTTGAGATTGTTCAGTTTCATTTCTTTAGTCATCTCTTTACTGTCTCCACACCAATTTAGCAGATCCTTGCCCCCAGTTACAAAGTTATAAGTCTCCCAAACAGTAACCATAATTAGTTATATCTAGATAAAAAAAACAGGGGCCAGGGATATAGCTCAGCAGCACAAGTGCCTGCCTGGCAAGCACAAGGTCCTGAGTTCGATTTCCAGTACCAAAAAAAAAAAAAACCATTAAAAACAGTAAGTGAAAGTGCAAGAAAGTTACAAAAAACATAAGTTAAAATAGATGCTGGGGATTTAGCTCAGTGGTACAGTGCCTGCCTGGCAAACATGAGGTCCTGAGTTCAATTCCTGGTACCACAAAAAGGATAGGAGTTTGTGTCCAAGTAGGAAATGAAGGAAATGTATGGGTATCTATAGTACAAAACGTGACACTGATTTACCTTTAGGTTTTGGTTTTCTGTGAAGTTCAAACCTTAAGTACCCTGCCATTAAACTTCAACTCCAGATTTATCCTCAATTAATCTAAGGGAATCTATTCCTTTATAAAGAGTGTGAGAAGCTGGGCATGGTGGCACGCACCTGTAATCCCAGCACTCCAGAGGCTGAAGCCGCAGGATCACTGCGAATTCAGGACTGGCCTGAACTACATAGCAGACCTTATCTCAAAAAAAAGTATTGGTAACACAGGAAGGCTCCTCAATAATTCATAAGTTAAGAATAGCTATCTTGATTATTCGATATATTAAGCAGTAGTTATGTCTCTCAGCCTCTAAACCATCCTCAGCTTTTTTCCATGACTCTTTTTACTTTTTTTTTTTTTTTTTTTTTTTGGTACCAGGAATCAAACTCAAGACCTTGCACTTGCCACTCAGGCACTTGTGCCACTGAGCTATATCCCCAGCCTCTTTTCCATGACTCTTAGTAATTTTGGCTATGTAGTCCAGGCTGGCCTTGAACTTGATCTTTCTACCTCAGTCTCCTGAAGTCCTAGGATTAAAGGTGTGTGTCACCATACTTGGCCTAATTCTTTTTGTTGGCTGCCTCTGTCTTCGTCTGAATTAGATAACAGCTGTCTTCCAGATATATAAGGAAACTGAACAGCAGGTAGGGATGGTTAAGGTGAGGCTCCGAGAATGCCCAGAGCTCAGATGCCTTATCTAACACAGAACTCCTAGTGATAATTAGGTCGTATTTTGATTTTTTGTTCCAAGTGAATTCATATTTGTCATAGGCATTTTGGGGGTACAGATTATCACTAAATAGGTTATCATTAGACTCATAGGACATTAATTAAGGTGGGGATATAGCTCAGTGGTAGTGTTTGCATAGCATGCATGAGGCCCTGGGTTCCATCACTGGTACTGCCAAACCAAAGAAAGGCATTAATTAGTATTGTTAAGAAAGCAGTAATGATGCAAACACCACTCCTCTGCTCACAAAGATCACCTTGAGACTGTTTCTGCATTCCACCTGCCTGAGAAGTGGGAGCATCAGCCTGTTCCAGGCTTTTGGGAAGCATAGCCCTTTAAAAAGAGAGAGCCATTTTCCATCTGTTCCTGGATGAGCACAATTTGAAATTTTTTTTAACCACTGTTAAATGAATTTTTCCCTGAGCCCTCCCCACCACTCCTCAGCCAGTGTTAGGTGGGACTTGGGTGGCAGCAAAAAACTGACTTATATGTTGAGAGCTCTTCTGCAAGACTGATCCTTAGCTGCTCCATGTCTTTGTTCTTCTGTTGCTGGAGTTGCACCCCACTTCTTAATTGCCTCTTTCGTTCTTCCATTTCCTCCTGCTGTTCCTGAACAAGATGGCCAAGAACATTTCTGATGAGTCAAGCAATTTTTAAAAATCCTTATAGTGTCTACAATAGTTTATAAAGCACTCCTTTGTGTATTGTTTATCATATTTAGAGAGACTGGTATAGGACAGGTTAGGAAACCAAAGATGAAAAGGTGACACTGCTTGTAAAAATGGTGACCCAGCCAGCCATGGGGAAGGCATAAGATTTTTAAGTTTATCCAAAGAAATGAGTGTTTCAAGAGACAAAAAGTCCCCACACAAACATTTCTCCCAGTGCCCAGCAACACCTAACTCGGCACTTACTGTGAGTGTCAGAACAGTACAGAGATAAGTAAAATACAGCTTCTACCTTCTGAAAGCCCAGTCTGACAGGCAGACGTAACTGTTTATTCATTTAATATTTATGTCTCACTCTGATTTAAAAAAGGATTAGAACTGGCCTACATCTGATCAGAATAACTGGAATACAAGGCAGATGATGACATGCACAAAAGAAAACAAGGAATAGAAATTTATAGATTGGGCCGGGGATGTAGCTTAGCAGCATAAGTGCTTGTCTGGCAAGCCTGAGGTTATGAGTTCGATTCCCAGTTCAAAAAAAAAAAAAAATGTATAGATTGCAACTCAGCCTAAAGGCTGGTCAGCTTTAGAGTGGCAATTGAATGAGATTTCAAGGTGAATATGAAGTGGAGGAAAGGGAATGAATTCATTCTACCTGGCCTCTTGTTTTGTGTTTTATTTTTTTGAGATAAGTCTTGCTGTGTAGGCCAGGCTGGCCTTGAACTCCTAACCCTCCTGCTTCAGCTTCCTGAGCGATTACAGGCAGGCACTTCCACGCCCAGCTCTACCTGGCCCCTTTACTGTTTTCCACATACTCAAATATGACTCACTATTCAGTTAGAACATGCCCAGTGTGGCAGTGCATACCTGTGGTCCCAGCACTTTAGATTATTCAACTGAACCTCAGTTTCCTCACTGTTAAAATGTCTGGACAGCCAGGCGTGGTGGCACATGCCTGTAATCCCAGCACTTGGGAGGCTGAGGCAGGAGAATCGTCGCGAGTTTGAGGACAGCCTGAGCTACAAAGTGAGCTCAAGGCCAGCCTGAACTGAATAGCAAGACCCTGCCTTAAAAAGACAAAAAAAATAAATAAAATGGCTGGATGTAGTAGCACATACTTGTAATCACAGCACTCTGGGAGCTTTCTGGAGGCTGAGGCAAGAGGATTGCAAGTTCAAGTCCAGCCTGGGCAATTCAGTGACTTAGCAAGACCTGTCCCCCACCCTGACCCCCTGCTAAAAAGCTGAGTGCAGTAAAAATGCAAATAACTTAGCTTCTAATACAAGCCTGACTAAATGAAGTGAAGAATAGATGAAAGGAGTGAGTGAATGGCCCCAGAGAATGAGTTATCCCTACATGGGACAGTGTCCTCCAGCCCAGACATTGAATTCTCACCACACTTTCCTTCCCTGGGTTAAAAGCCTACTTCCTTTGATAGCCAATGGGCCTACCCTGTACTGCTGCACCTCTTCATCTCGTTTTTGCCTCACAAGTGTGATCTGGTCCTCCAGGTTCCTCTTCTGCAGGTGGAGCTGCCGGGCCTCTGCTTGCAGGGGTCTCAGAGCTTCCTTCATCTCCTGGATCTCGGCCTGGGTTTTCTGCAGAGCTTTGGTCCCTGCTTCTTTCCTCTCCAGGAGTCTCAGTAGCTGAGGCTCATATTCCTCCTCCAGGCCCTGGCGGCTCTCTGCCATGAGATGTTCAAACTCTGCAGACAGCTGCCGGCTCTCTTGGAGAAAGTGCCCATCTCTCTGGCTTGGGGGCGCTTCTAGTTGTTGCCTCAACTGCTCCTTCTGCTTCTGATAGGTGTCCCGGAGTTGGGCCAGTTCCCCAGACAGCTGGGCTGCCTTTGTGGTCAGCACTTCCCGGAAATCAGCGAACTGAGCCACGTCCTGCTGGCGGCACTCCAGCTGGTACTGGTAGGCCACACATTCCTTGGTCACCTTGAACAGCTTCTGCTTGACCAGCCTGATCTCCTCCCTCAGCCCGTCTCTCTCCAGCTCTGCCTGCGCGTGCAGCTTGTAGGCAGCCAGGATGTCCCGATGGACTTGCTGCACCTCCTGCAGGGCTGGTTCTCGGAGCAGCACCAGCTCATGGATGAGCTGGTCCCGCTCCTCTTCCAGCTGGGCCACTGCTTGCACACACTGCTGGAAACGGCCCTCTAGCAGTTCCAGGTCCTCGATGCTCAGGTTCTCTGTGCTGGGGCTCGGCTCAGCTTTGAGGCTGTCCTCAGGGTTGGACTTTTCCTCGCTTGCAGCCACATCTCCCTCACACACAACCTGCTCTGGGCTCGGGCTCTTTGCTGGATCCACATGTGGCTTCACAGTCTCCTCATACTGCGTCTCCCCTGGACGCACAGGCCCTTCCACGAACAGTGTCTCCTCTGGCTGCACCGTCTCCTCAATATACAGTAACTCCTCTGGCTTCTCAGTCTCTTCCATATAAAGTGTCTCTTCAAAGTCATCTGTGTCCCCAAGGAAGAGAATGTCTTCTAGGTTCACGTTCCCCTCCACAGAGAGAGTCACTTCTGGGTTCAAGGGCTCAGTCTCATTCCGGGATTCAGAATTCTCTTGAAGAGAAATGGCTTCTGCTCTTACTTCCCTGCAAGAAAAAATGATTTTTTGTGTGTGTGTTTGTGGTACCAGTAATCAAACTCAGGGCCTTGCACTTTGCAGGCAGGCGCTGTGTCACTCAACTATATCCCTGGCCCAAGAAAAAATGATTTAAAAGTGAAAAAAATGTGGGGTGGGGATGTAATTCGGTGGTAGACCACTTGCCTAGTATGTGGTGGGCCATTGGTTCAATCTTCAGTACCAGAAAAAGGAGGAGGAAAAAGAAAAGAGAAAGGAGGAGGGGAGAAGACAGAAGAGAAAGCTCTCGGATCTCATGAGTGGCTTGTCTGGTCCCTGTCCCCCTCCCATACTCAGGCCATTGTTTTGCTCCCCTGACTACACTCCCACAATGTCACCAGTCTCTGCTTACCTAAGTTCGAGGACAGGAAACTCACATCGGAGTCACTGCTAGGAGAATTTTAATGTTTAAGGTAGGAACTTCTTCCTTGCAATTCTTACCTGCTGGACTTGATACTCCTAGATGCAGACCATTTGAACTGCATTTCCATGTAAGTTCTTTAAACCCTTAAAGATAACCTACTTAAGGGCTGTGGGTGTTGCTCAGTGTAAGAGTGCATGCTTAGCTCAAGACCTTAGGTTCAATCCTCAGTACCATACACAAAAGTAGCTAAATTATCTTTCAACTATTCCATATATAGCAAAGTTCCAGTGCTTGCCTCATTTGGCTGACTACTTTCTGACTAGGCTCCAATTATTTTGTTTTGTGTTTTTGAGACAAGGTCTCTCTGTGTAGTCCAGACTGGCTTTGAATTCACAGCAGTCCTCAAATGCTGGTATTACACCTGGTCCAATCAAGATCATTCTGAATCATTAGGCGCACTGTCCCAGCTGACAAGTCATGAGTCCCTGGTTTCCTTTTCTGTAAGAGTGGAAACCACAAAAGTCTGCTCCACCAGGCCTCTTGACACCACTGGCCTCAGTCCATCCAGCGCTTGCTCCAAGACTTTAAACCTGAAGTTGACCTCAGTAACCAACTAATCCATTCACGCTGCTTTGCCAGAGGGGAAGTGGTTTTCGTTATCTTTACCTGATGTCACTGAGTGCCTCAAACTCAGTTGCTCCAAATTATCATTTTCCTGGGGCTTACTGCCTCTGGACTCTCCAGCTCAGACAAACACATCGCCACACTCCAGATTAACTAGCAAGAAATCTTAAACACCTTTCTTTGCCCAGTGTGGCCAAATCATGGAGAACTAACCGGCCTTTCTACCTTAGCAAGTCTCCAGTCTCCATCCCTGCTTCTCCAGCCTCGTCAACTTCTGTACTTTGCCCAGCCTTCTAATGGGCCTCCTCCTCACCCCAGTTTATTCTCTACAGTACCAGTGAGCTGGCTACGACAGAATGCTGCTCCCCTTCACAATTCCAAGTCTTAAAGATGTGGCCCTTTTTTTAGCCTCAGCTCACATTACTCCTCCAACCCACTCAATGCTTGACAACCCAGAACATGTGTCAACTTTTTACAACTCCCACTCTTGAGCCCACAGTGTCTGAAAGATCCAGCTGAGCAATGCAGCTTCCCCACCACCACCTGCCTAGAAGACAGCCTTGTGCTACCTAGGAAGTTAGAGCTGCTAGCACCACGAGGGCACACCTGCTCAGCCACCAGACCCACCCTGCTTCTCGGCAGAGTCCCTCCTTCCCCAGCCCATGGCCCTCCCTCCACCTGGGAACAACCTAGCCATGTTCAAGGCACTGTTCTAAGCATTTTATTTTTTGGTGCAACCCAGAGCCTTCGTACTGAGCTACATCCCCAGCCCCTTTTTTATTTTTTTGAGATAGGATTTTGCAAAGTTGCCAGGCTGGGCTCCAACCTGCAAACCTCTTGCCGCAGGCTCCCAGAGTACTGGGGTTAACAGGGATGTGCCACCAGGCCCAAGTTCCAAGCTTTTACACGGATACTCACCTACAGAATGCTCATTTATTATGCCCATCATATAGAGGGCACGGAGCGCACAGAGTAAAGAACTCACAAGGTCCCAAAACTCACGAAAGTGGTAGATGGAGCCTGGAGAAGGCTACCCTCGGCCAAAGGTAGACATCATAATGAAGCTCGGCACATTGTGGTCAAAACCTCCTTCTAGGGCTGGGAATTTATTTATGTTTGTTTCTGAGACAGGGCATCACTATGAAGTCAAGTCTGACCTGGAACTCATGACAATCCTGCCTCAGCCTCCCGAGTGCTGGGATTACCCCGTGAAAGGCTGGGAATTTAGGTAGGGAGGAGTGCTTGCCTAGCATGCATGAGGCATTAGATTTGATCCCCATCACTGCAGTAAATACATACATACAAAAGTCTACTTAAATGTTTATTCATCCTTCAAGCCCTGCTCACACTTCATCTCCTCTGCAAAGTACTTTCTGAACAAGGCCCACCTGTGTCCTCACTGACTGCCGTTCACCTTTGCACTTCTGGCTGTGCATTAGAGAAGTGTATGTGCCCATCTTGCTGACAGTGAACGCTAAAGACAAATACAATTCTGCTCTGTATCCTAAGGGTGGGGTTCTTGGAAGGCAGGCAGGCAGAAAGCAACTGAGCTCCAGGGAGGAAACTTGCCCAAGGTCAAGAGACAAAACTGGAGGGAGAGAAACAAATAAAAACAAACACTGGAGGGGCAGTCCAGGCCTCCTGACTTTCAGGCTATGCTGCCACCCTAGCCAGGGTGCCAGCTGCTGCCCTCACACGGCTACCTCTCTCTTGCTGGGAAAGTAGATCCAATAATAGGAGGTCAGAAGGCGGGGAGGTCAGGGAGCTCCGCCGGGCCCCTGACCTCAGGCTTCCTTGGGCCCCAGGCAGCTTGCCTCTGTCGCTGCCATCCCAGAGAACTCCAGCAGCTCCCTACCCCTCACAGGGCTGTGGCTGGGAATGTGTGTGACAGGGTAGGTGAGGGTGTGTCCGATTCCTTGTATACCTGTATGTGTGTACAGCAGTACAGGCAGGTGTATGCATACAACTGTGTCCCCTCATGTGTCAGCAGGTGTGTATTTGCACCTCCACCTCTTGGTACAGTGGGAAATCCAAGACCATAGCCTGATGGGCAGAAATACTCCCCACTCAACAGAGCCCCTTTCCCCTACCCAGTGGTAAACTGACAGGGCAGAGAGATGGGGTGGGCCTGTCCTCTTGGCCCCAGCAAGGACCCCCTTAATGGTCTGAAGCAGTAGACCCTACCTGCCCCCATCCCAGGCCTGCCAGGAGAGAACAAGATGCCTGAGCAGACTCTTAACTTCAAGCTGGCCGATGTCCAACCTTGCACCAAGTGCTTTCCATGCAGCAAATCCACAGCTGGTCACCTCATCCCCGGCAGACACTTGGCGTGAGGAGTAAAAGGAAACGAGCACTTTCTTTGGTCAGATGGGCCAAGTGAATTTGGAATAGCTGGTAGCCTGAAAGGGTTAACTCTCACGCGGTCCGTGCAGGGGGCAGGGTATTATAAAAAGCCACGCAGGTGCCTTGACCCCGGGCCAGGGCTCCCCACCTCCCTTCCTTGAGTGGTTCCTTCCCCGGTCGGGCCCGGGCTGGATCAGCACCCCCAGCCAGGCGATAGGGCCGCGGGTGGGGGAAGGGAACTGTCCAGCACCCCCTCCCCAAAGGGGCGGCGACGCGGTTGCCGGTCGCTCCTACCTCGCGGCCTGGGCGCCGTCGTCCCCGCCGCTCCGGGTCT